GGATAATTTCTGTTTTCTTGCATATACTTAAGCATGACCTATGGACCAGTATGTGGTCTGTTTCAGAAAATGAGCCATGTGCAGCTGAGAAAAATGTGTATTCAGCTGTGTTTGGGTGGAACTCTCTGTATATGTCCACCAAGTCCATTTGTTTCAAACTCTGGTTCAGTTCTGTTATTTCTTTGCTAAGTTTTTTTATCTGGTTGACCTATCTTTTGGGGATAAGGGGGTGTTAAGGTCTCCTGTTAAGATTGTGGTATTGAATATTAGATTTTTCATGTCCAGTAAGATTTGCTTTATATAGTTGGGAACTCCCGTGTTTGGTGCACACATATTTAGGAGTGTTACCTTTTCCTCTTGAATTTTTCCCCTAACCAGTATGTAGTGGCCTTCTTTATTTGACTTAATCATTCTTGGTTTGAAGTTGAGCTTGTCTGAGAATAAGATTGCTACCCCTGCTTTTTTCTAAGGTGATGGGGCATGTAATATTGTATTCCATCCTTTGACTCTCAGCCTATGAATATCTTTATGAGTTAAATGTGTTTCTTGTATACAGAATATTGTTGAATTTTGTTTCCTAATCCACTGTGCCGGTCAATTTCTCTTAATTGGTGAATTGAGTCCATTTACATTGATGGTTAGAATTGAAATGTATTGACATATTATTGACATGTTATTTACCTGTTGTCGTTTACTCCTTTTTCTCCTGTGTTTAATTGCTTGCCCTATTTAGTTGGTTGCTTCTGATCTCATTCGTGGAGTTCAGATCATTTAGGTCCCTCTCTAGAACATCTTTCAGTAGTCTCTGTAGGGTTGGCTTTGTCATCATGATATTCTTCAGTTGTACTTTGTCATGAAAGTATTTCACTTCTCCATCAATCTTGAAAGAGAGTTTTTCAGGGTACAGTTGTCTGGGCTGGAATTTGTTTTCATAGAGGACTTGAAGTACTCTGCTCCATGCTCTTCTTGCCTGCATGGTTTGTGAAGAGAAGTTGGCCATAATTCTGATGGGTTTTCCTTTGCATGTGATCTGCTTCTTTTCTCTAGCAGTTTTCCGTATATTATTCTTGTGCTGAGTTTCTGGGATCTTGACTATTATATGTCTCGGTGTGTTTTTCACTGGGTTGAGGTTACTTGGCGTTCTGCATGCTTCAGTTACCTGAATGTGAGATTGTTTCCTCATACTTGGGGAGGTTTTCTGCTATTACTTCTGCCCATATTTTTTAAAAGTCATTTCTATTGTCTCCTTCTTTTTCGTTGATGCCTGTTAGTTTCACATTGTTCACTTTGCATCATCTTCCAGGTGATGGATTATTTTTTCCTGCATCCTTGTTGTTTTTAAGAGATCCTTTCTTACCTTTTCACTAGCTGCACCAGCGTCTTCAAGATCTGAAACTCTTCTTCACTTTCACTTAAACGGTTTTGCAAGCTTGTGATTGAGATATTAATTTCCTCTATATTTGTTTGACTCTGCTTCATGCGATCTATTTCTTTCCTGTATTGCTCTTTCAAGGAATCCATCATTTTTCTGATCCCCTCTATTTTTTTTATCAATGTCTTCTTTAAAAGCAGTTATAAGTTCTTTTACTGCAGTGTTTTTTTCAGATTGGGTTTCCTCCCTATGTTTCTGTAGTTGATTCTTTACTTCAGATGTTATGAGTTCTGAGAATTCTTTTCTTATTTCAGAAAATTCTACTCCTAGTTCATCTATAAATTTCTGCTGTTGCTTATTTACTATTGACACTACTAATTCATATATCTGAGCTGAGCTAGTAGAAAAGAATTCCGCTCTGAGCTCCTCTGATACTTTCTGCTGTTGCTTATTTACTATCTACTAGCTCATTTGAGCTGAGCTAGTGTACTCTGCACTCGTTCTGGGTGGGCATTGGGTTTCCTCCATATGTTTCTGCATTTGATTCTGTGCTGCACATGTTATTAATTCAGGGATTTCTTTTTTAATTTCCAAACTAAGTTCCTCTATACCTTTCTGCAGCTGTTTCTTTATTTCAGAAGCTGTTGATTCATTGATTTCAGCTGTGTGATTCCCAATTTGTTTTGCGTTAGTGTCTTCTGCACTTGTTATGTATGGATGGGCTTGGGTTCTGAGATTGCCATTTTGTGTAGCACTGTCTTCTGATCTTTGTTGTAGAGCTTTGGTGCAGTTATAACCTTAGCACCTACTGAAGTGCAGGTGCATTTCTACAAAGTTTGGATTTATCCAGCTGATCCTGGCTTGGGTCTGGCTGTGGTGCTCAGCTCCTTCCTGCTGCTGCCCTTGGGGTGAACCTGTTGTGCCCCTCTGGCAAGATGTTCTGCTCCTGGACTAGCTGGGTGGTTCTGTCCCCTACACTCTCTCCAGGGATTGCAGCTGCAGGGTTTCACCTCAGGCCTGTATGCCAGGCCTGAGCTGAGTCTGGATGGGACAATGTGGAGTAGGGGGGAGAGGCAGCTCTCCCACACCCTCACAAGACCTGGGCTAGGACTGGATCTGGGGGTTCCTAGAACGTGGCAGAAATTCTCATGTGATGGGCGGGGTGGGGGTGTGCTGTGGAGTGCTGGGGTCCCAATGGGGTGAAAGAGAGTCTCACCCACACTGCACCTGGGCTGGGACAGGCAGGTCCTGCCGGCGCAGGGTAACTGGAAGCTCTCCCACACACTCACCGGGCCTGAGCTAGGACTGGATCTTTCAATAAAATTAAGTATATATCTTCCTAACAGAGAGTAATGAGTGATGTATTTTTTTAAAAAATGTTGACACCAGAACAACTTGAAGACTGAAAGCCTCCTAGCACAGCAGGGAAGCTTCTGTTACTGATTTCAAATGAGAATTATTGTTAATAGGAATAAAGTTATTATCAGCATGAATCACAGACACAGAAACCGGTTAACTTAATAATGTGGCAAATGTTCTATTAATCTTTAGTGAAGCAATATTAATATATTGCCTAATCTACAAAAAGGCTCCAGTGTCTTGAAAGCTTGAAATCATTTCTGTTTCTGCCTCAAGTTCTGAAATCTCCCCCTTTTAAAATTTTAAATACTTTTATTTCATCCAAGCCTCTCAGGATTCAGAAATAAATTGCTGTCAATAGAGATTCATTTTCACTTTTGAGTGGCCAGTAATGGCAAACGACAACCCCATCGACCTTAATATCAACATATTTTAAACGTATGCCTTGGAATTGAAGGTCAATAATGGCTACTAAATATAAAATATGGAATTTTATGATGCTTTATTCTTAGTACTTTGATTGCCTTTGTACTGGCGATTATTTTATCTGGAGGCAAAATCTAGCCTCAGCCTGTTCTAGTGGACGTTTCCTCTGACTCCCTGGAGAAGTATAATCTAACATTTGCTTTGAAGTCTCTAACAGGAGAGCACTAAATATAATTTTGGAGCCTATGTCATTTGTCAGGGATTTTTAACCCAGTGCAGGCAAGACATTGTGCATAGTAGCCAAACAAGAGCTCTGACTCCAGCCTAAATTAGGATGATTGTTCTGCTGTACGCTAACAAGTTATATGTTACCAAATGTCACTGAGCCTCAGACTTATGATAATACCATCAGTAGACTGGCTGTGGGGATTCAGTTGGATACTAAGAAGTCATCTTTGAGGAGCTATGATATATAATAGTAGTCAATGAATATTAGTGTTTGCTCCATACAATATACTGGACAACTAGATTTGGTAAGATTCATAAAAATAGTTTCACATGATTTATTGCGTCTAATTCAAATTAAAAACAATGCAATTTACAGAGGAAGTTCAAATTTAGAGGGCAGAATGATCACTTATTACTGCATGAGGAAGATACGGAATTAGTAACTTGCGCAATTTGAAGTGAAGGTGTTGAGGCAAGTTATATGGATTGTGATAGTTTTGTACCCATTAATTTTTCCATTTGAAGTTGCTTTCATTATGTTAATGTGCAAATGCTTGGGAAATATTTCCACTGCATTCTGGTTTTAAACCTGCTACTATTAGAATGAGGGAGGGGCTAAGAGATATAGCTCAGTGGCTTAAGCACTTTCCCGGCAAGTGCAAGGTCCTGAGTTTGATCCCCAGTAAAAAAAAAAAGAAAGAGAGAGAGAGAGAGAGAGAGAGAGAGAGAGAGAGAGAGAGAGAGCAGGGAAGAAGGATGGATCTCCTGAAGCAGGCTAGTTTTCTTGCATTGTTTAGACCAAGGGTCAGCAAACTTTTCAGTGAAGGACCAGGTGGTAACTAAGTTCACATATGGGTTTTTTGGCAACTACTCAATTTTTTTGTATCTGTGCATGAATGTTAAAGATATATCAAATCAATGAATGTGGTAATGTTGAGACAAAACTGTATTTATGGGCACTGCAATTTAAATTGCATATAATTTTCGTGTGCCCCCAAACAGCCTTTTGACTTTTTTCCAACTACCTAAAAATGTACAGTCCTTTTTAGACTGCAGATAGAAATAATCCAGGGGCTGAATTTGGGCTGGAGACAGCCGTGTGCTGACCCTGGTGTACAGGAACAGTCATTGTTCTCAGAGTTAGAGGATCTGTTCTGTTTTTCTTTTCAGTACTATTAACTGTGACCTGGCATTTCTCCCGCATAAATCACTTCACTATTATGATCCTGCTTACTCATTAACCAATGAAGTTGTTCATAAGTTAATCTTTAAGTTGCTTTACAGCTCTTGGATTTTACCATTGACGAATGTAGCTCAGTTGTTAGCTTTCTAAATTCCAAGTTGGGAATGAGCAATGAAAGCAGTCCCAAGTTTGTTCAAAGATTTTTATAAACATCTATTTTTTTCCTATAAATAATTTACTTTTTGGAATCTAGCTACATTAACATATTTAAAAACCATATATGCCTCTAAAAACGATACTTTGAGCTGAGTGGTTTGCTCTTGAGTTCTACATAGTGTAAGCTCGATTTCCTGAGGAATTAACATAATGGGTGGGAAACACTCACTTGCTCATTAGTGTAGTTAGCTGGATGGTGGAGGTGGTGCTCAAATCAGGCAGCTTAGCTACTTGTTGGTAGCACTTTTTAAAGATTTAATGAAGGAGGAAAGCAGCATGCTTGGCTAAAAGGTGCGTTGGTAATTGCTGATGGATCTAGTGTTTTCATATACCACTCTCTGCTTATAACTGCATATTCTCAACTATTGTCGATGCCCACCGCCAGCCATCTACAGTTCTACAAAAGCAGCACTTTTCCTTAGGCTCCTCAGATAGATCTCTGCCTGACTCTGCTTAGTTTTTGAAATCAGAGCCTATAAGAAGAAGCCTTTGGGGAGTGTGTGTCGGGGGGAAAGTTCAGATCTACTCATAAAATTAGCAGGTGATTATTTCACTACTTTGGATAGTATCCGATGCCATTCCTTACCTGCATAATGCACATTCTGTATAGGACTTGAAAAATGAAGAAGGGGAGAAGGGTGAGGAAAAACTTTGTGTCTTCCACATGGGGCTTACTATAGCGGTCACCATTTTTTTTCTTGGTGTGGTCTAGCCAGCTTGTCACAACTGTGCCCAAATGGCAACTCAGGCAGCATGTTTTCAGCATGTGAGCAAACACCCCAAATGCTATCAGAAGGGAGCAACCTGAAAATAATTGGAGATATTATGTATTAGTGTAGGGACTGCTCTTCAGTATTCCTGGGTGTCAGCCAGATGACAGCTACAGGGATGAAGAGCAATAGAGTGATTGAGTAGGTTTTGGTGCCCAGGGGGGCTGGATTCAAAGGAACAAGCTTCTGACAAGGATTCTGGCATCCTGATGACCAGCCCAGGGTGGTGCCTGACAGCTGATGTAAAAAAATGAAAAACGTAAGATCAGTGCAAACATATTGAAAAGGAAAGAAAGGTGACAAAATAAAACACCAAAGTAAAGGATTTTGCAACCTCTCAGAAGTCTCTAACAAACTCATTAATGAATAAGATAACTTGAACTTTCCTTTACACCCTCTACACAAAAAGCCAGAACTATTTTATAAAATATAAATCACTGTATAAATAATCTTCACATGGGAGGGAGAAGGCAGTTTCTTATTTTGACACAAAGATGAGGGGAGTGTATTGTTCCCCTGGACTTTATCCTTAGGTTTCAGACATAAGGTTACACATCGGATTCTTTAAATGACTTTATGAATGTTTATAGCATCAGTAAAAGTTCAGATTGGATTAGTTGGCTTTTAACTTTTCCAGTGGTTTCCCCTGGGTTTGTTTGGCTGTCACTTTGACACCAGAAACATTTTATTTCCTTAGCTATTCCTGGTCACTTGCTGCTCGAGATTTGTAAACTCGCTGTTGCTTCTTTTATGATCTTTTGGATCCCGCTTTTTGTTTGACTGCATTGGGAGTTCTTGGTACTGTGACAGCTAAGCTACCCCCACACAGTTAGCAGGCCAGCTGCGCTGTCGAGGTGGCTCTGCTTTTACCTGGCACTCCTTGGGACATCATAGAACCCTTCACAAATTGTATAGACACCACACCCTGAAGGATAAGTGGCATAAAAATGTAAAAAAAAAGAAAGAAAAAAAAAGAATTTCTCTGAAGAAGTCTATGGTAGGCACTCAAAATATAGTTTGATTGTCATCTTAACTAGGTTCAATTTTTTGACAATGAAATTCTAGGTAAAGCACATTCTAAACAAGTTCAGTTAAATGCCATAGAACACTGGCTTTGCATTTAAATAAAGAATATTTATATTTGTTTTATGGTTAGGAAGCTGATTCTATTGATTTGATCTGGTCTTTCTTTGAAGTGTTATAGTAGATTCATTATGTCATCCTTTGATTAATTGAGGAAGCTGGGGGCCTGGTAATTGAATATGGAGCCTTTCACCTCTAAGTCACTGAATCAAATCCAGCCCAAATTGGTAGTGACCAAGAATGATTACACTTGTGGCTTTTTGGTGGCCTTTGTGAAGTGTCTTTAGGTCACATGGAAGTATGTTGGGATAACTGCTGGCAGGAGGTAGGCTCATATCCATAGTCACCATTGCCTCTTCTTAGACACCATTGCCAGGCGTAGATAAAGGTCAGGGACTGATAGAACCAAGGGGACAGAAGCACTTGAGCCTGGCCAAGGTTTATGTCCTTTAGAAAAGGAGTAATAGGGACTGCCTGTTTTCACTGCAGAAAGAACTCTATTATTGGGCTTTCCCAGCTTTTCCTAATTAGTTAACTTCAGGTTTAAGTAAGATAAAACTGGAGAAATGTGTGTATGAACAACTTAGAGGCCACATTTGATCAGATCTGAACTAGAAAACTGAACTATCTGATAGTTTCTTACAATCTTGTCTTTGTTGATCCTCAATGTATTCCCTACTCTTGTGAAACACTGTATGGATAAGACTATTTTAGTGTCGGTACAAAATACTCTGCCCTGTGCTTTCAAATAGGCTTTATTATTACAGGACAATATTTGGAGTAAGAAAGACTATATTTAAAGACATTTTCTCCAATTTTTACCCCTCCATTTTTTTAAAGCCAGAAACTTGTGTTGAATATGTTTTGTTCATGCGATCCCTTGTTTTGTATTAAAAATCCCCTACCCTCTTTTTTTTTTTTTTGTATTTTAGGGAAGGGTCTACAGAGTGTTCAGGGTCTCACTAATAGACTGGACTTGTAGTGATCCTCCTGTTTGCAGCCTCCCAAGAGCTGGGATTACAGGTGCATGCTACCATGCCCAGTCTCAGTCGCAGTCTCAGTGCACCCCCGGGGGTGGGGCTGGCATGGTAGGCCTGGGGATTGAATCCCTAGCCCCTGCATCTGCTTACAGGTGCTTTAATCCACTAAGCTAAAAAATCCCTATTGTTTACAAGATAATTTGGGTCTACTCCTAATCCATGTTAACCTTATTAAATAAGTCAGTGTTATCATTTTGTTCTACAGTGGGATAATTTAGATCGGTGCTTCTCAAAGCTGTTCAAATGAATTTTTTAAAATTTCCCAAGTAGCACGGTCAGTATGTTTGTGAAGTATAGTGAAAATAGAATACCTAAAAAATAGATATAGAACTATAAGTACTGATATTTTTACTAGTGATAAGCACTGACATTTACATATAAGATTATATATAAGCACCAATATTTTGTTAAATATAAGATATATTTTATATTAATAAAATTAAATATTTTGAATGTCTATTAAGCAGACATAAAATGTGACTTTACATAAATATTTCTCTACATCATTTTTGCTTAGGATCTGTATTTATGCTAGTACTACTAAAAATAAAAATTCACAGGTCAGCATCACTCTGTGGACCTGCCTTTGTGTAGTACGGCCATCAGTTGAATATACATTTTGAAAATGAAGTTATTGGAACAAAATTTATCTGGCATAATGGTATGAATCTATAAAAACAAAGTGGTCAAGATGTAGGAAATGATTGAGTATGATTGGTTCTAAAACTCCAGCTAGTCCAGCAAGTACACATAATTGATGAAAAAGAAATGAAAATGTAATCATTCATTCATTTATTCATTTATCTTTTGCAATATTTATTGACTATCTACTATAAACCAAAGACTATTCTAGACTCTGAGATTATAGCAAAGCACAAAATCCACAAATTCCCAAATGTTTCCTGTGGTTGAGAGGCACTACAAGCAGGAAAATATCTATAATGAAAACAAAATGGCCTTATGTGATAGAGATGTATGAGATGGGTGATATTTAAACTGAAGGCTGAATGATTAAAAACAGGTAAGAAGAGTTGGAAGAAACATACTGCAAACCTATTGGAAGTAGAAATAAGCAATTGAGCCTCAGGAAGAGGTAAGGTCAGTGATGGAGTAACTCAGAGAGAAGGCTGGGAGGAGGACAAGGTCAGGAGACAGAACACTCAGACCAAAGTCGAGAGCTTGAAGTTTCTCAGCAGTATTACAAAAAACCAGTAAGAAGTTGTAAAAGGGATAGTGCTGTTGTATTGGGTATATTTGGTGAATGTTAGTATAGAATCATGGTAGTGAGAGGACGTTGGGGGACAAGTGAGGAAACTGGAGGACATGCAAGCAATAGTGGTGACATACTGACAGTATATGGTGCCAGTTAATGTTGACTATCAGTGTGATGGGTTAGAGACTCCCAGAGAGAGCACTGGATTGTGAGGGCACGAAGTCCATCAGTAGGCAACCCGTGTAGAAGTTCATGGGCCTCTGGGGGGAGGGGCCTAGGTGGAAAAGGTAGAAGGTCAAGGGGTGACCCTGGGGGCTGTATGTGGCATCTGGCCCCTTCTTCTCTGGCTCTTTACTTATTAGCTGATATGAAGGGAGCCGCTTTGTTCTGCTATGCCATTCTGCCATGGGGTTCCTGCCCTGAGTCAGTCAACGTTGGTCTGAAACCTGTGAAACCATAAGCCAAAATAAACCTCTGCTGCTCTAAGTTGCAGTGTCAGGCTTGTTGTTCTAGCAACAGGAAAGCTGGCCAGCACAAAATGTTTTTTAAAAATCTATGGAATTTTATGACATGCGAAGAGAATAAAGAAATGAGAATATTTAAAGATGACTACATTTTCTCCTCTTGCACAACTGGGTGGCAGTGATATACTGAGAAAGAGAAAACACCCATAGAGCCAATTTGCAGTAATAAACAAGGAGTTGAGTTTTGGTTAGGTTGAGCTTCAGAAATTGTTACATAATTAAGTTGAAATGTCAAACGAAATGTAGAGTGTATGCCTCCCAAGGTGACAAGAGCTGCCAATATGAAACAGTATTTATGTAGATGGTTAAAGGGAGCAGGTGGTCAAAGACGAGAGAGATGGAACGTTTGGTTTAGATATCAGTCAAGAAATGATCAGAAGAGAAAAGCTAATGAAGAGACTGAGAAGAGATAGATAGTGTGCTACCGTGGTTGTAAGGGAGGAGGAAAGCAGTGAAATAATAAACTTAAATTGATCTGCTAGGACCAGAGCAAGCTAATAAGCTCTAGAGGATGCAAGTAGAGGCACTTTTAGGTAAATGGATGTACCCAGACACCATGACTCTAAGTGACATAAATCAGACTCACAAGTTTTTTTTTTTTTTTAATGTTGAGACAGAGTCTTTCTATGATGATCAGGCTGGTCATGAACTCACTACATAGCCCAGGTGGGCCTTGAATTCACAGTGATCCTCTTGCTTTGGCCTCCGAAGTGCTTGGATTACAGGCATGTGCCATCATTCCTGGCAGACACAGAAGTTTAAATATCATACTGTTTCCTACTATCAGAAACCCAAACTATAAATAAGGACCAAAAAAAAAAAAAAAAAAAAAAAAGAACTATTAAGAAGTAGGAAAATCCTTTTCAAATGGGAAGAGGTACAAGAAATGGAGGCAGGATGAGGGAAGGAATGGGAAAGGGATTTTAAAATTTTGAAGAAAAAATGGAATTAGAGTTTTTGTAAACGGAGAGAGGAAGAAGAGCTGATAGGATCAGGGAGGGAGGGGAAGAGGGGGACAAAAATTAAGATGTATTAAGTACGTGCTCGAAGCCCCCATGCTAAACCTAGTTACTTTGTACTGCAAATGTGCACTAATAAAAATGGAAACAGTACAGTCACCTGTTTGCAGGCAGAGTGGCAGTCATCCTGCGTAATGCTAGTTACCTCTGTGCGA